GTTCGTTATACGCTCTTTCCGTTGAACATAATTTACAACAGCATTCCTCAACGGAAAAATATAGCCAGGTAGACAGTGGTTCAAGCGAATTGATTTTGTTATAAAAAGAGTTTGGATTACAACAATCAAAATATGAATAATGTATTTATTTCATTAGAAAGAAATGGGAAAAGAAAAAACAATTTCCGGGAAAGCAGAAAAAGTGAATGAAAAGTTATATCAAGAAATAATTGGATCTTTACTTTATCTATCTCTGAATAGCAGACCTAATATTACGTGCGCTGTTAATATGCTATCACAGTTTTCTAAAGACCCTCGTAAACAACATCTTAATTCGGCATATCACGTTATATATTATATATAGATATTTAAATTATACAAAAATTATGTTTTAACGTATAAAAAGAGTGGTTTACCACTTTTTGGTTATTGTGATGTAAATTGGGTTCAAGATGTAAATGAGAGAAAGTCTCCATCAGGTTTTTGTTTTTTACTCGCAGGTGGTATCATATCCTGGGAATCAAAGAAACATAAGGTAGTAGCAGCATCTAGTGCAGAGGCTGAATATGTAGCCCTTACCGAAGCTACTAAAGAAGCCTCATATTCCAATCACACTCCTATGATTATTAATACAGATTCTTAAAGTGTGCAAAGAATGCCAGCATATTCATTACAAGTATTACTTTGTGATGGATGCCATAGAACAAAATATTATTAAATTGTAATACCTACCAACTGATAAAATGTTAGCTGATGTTTTACCTAAACATGTTTTTTCCAAAATTATTACTACATTTGGAATTATAGTGTAAATACTTATATGTCGAAGAGACTTGATGTTTTGTACTTGAAAATACATGGTATTCAACCATGGTATAAAGAAAACAAGGTAACTCTGTTCTCTGACATGAATACGAATTTTTGATATTTATTTTTGTAAGACCTGGTCTACACTGGGAAACTTTTGTTGAGAAACTTTTGATTTTGTGGGTGAGAGAAAGAGATGGCTGATATTTTTTCTCTTTCTCTCACACACAAAAATCAAAAGTTTCCCAAAAAAGTTTCCCTGTGTGAACCGGCACTAAACAAATAGATAAAAACGTTGCCACACATGTAGAAAGGGAAATCATATTTAGGAAATTAAAATTAAAAAATGTGTAATTTTGTTTACTATAAAAGTGTAACCGTTATGAGTTGTCAATATAAACGATTATAAATATGTTTTAATAAATGTTTTATTATCGGTTTATATTATTATTATAAACTAGTATGTTAACAAAGAACCAATGAAGGTGATTAACCATAAATTAGCTGGAACTTCTTCGGCTTAATGGTAATTCTTTACTTGGTTTTTAGGGATTTCAGGACGTGCTTTTAAATTGCTAAAAGATACTGGTTGATTCACTGGTATGTATTCCTAAATCTTGTCGTCTGTGTGCAATGAAAATCGAAAACAATTACGCTGCATGTAAAATTTTATCTTTTGAAATGACAAAGAAAAACGAAGAGATACATAATTTGATTTTCGGGTCATAGAATCCAGTGGCAAATACCATTTTAAAATCATTTCAAAATAAGAAGACTCTGCATCTTGTTAAACGAAGTATGCCACTGGATTAAAAGGGATATTATTAGATTTACGCTTCTTTTTGTTTTGGTATGTCTTACATAATTGCAGTGTTTATAAATATGTATATGGTCCCAAAACAGTAAAACTATCAAATATCGTGACCGCTGCTATATGAGTAAGATAACTCAACGCGTATGATATCGATCAGAAAATTTTTGCTATAGAGGGACCACTTATTAAACAGAATTATAGCCTAATTTAGATATACATACATACATACATACATACATACATACATACATACATACATACATACATACATACATACATACATACATACATACATACATACATACATACATACATACATACATACATACATACATACATACATACATACATACATACATACATACATACATACATACATACATACATACATACATACATACATACATACATACATACATACATACATACATACATACATACATACATACATACATACATACATACATACATACATACATACATACATACATACATACATACATACATACATACATACATACATACATACATACATACATACATACATACATACATACATACATACATACATACATACATACATACATACATACATACATACATACATACATACATACATACATACATACATACATACATACATATTTTAGTGAGACTGCCCAGCATCTCCCGATACACGATACACTCTTATCCGGATAGTAGATAGTTTTATTTAATCTTACGGATTTTTCTTTTATTTATAATAATATTTTTTAATTTATTATTGAAAAAATATTTTTTAAACATTTCAAAAAGAAATATATAAACAAAAAACATAGGTTTTTAAGGTAGATATGGTAGCACGATTTTAGACAATAAAAAAATAATTCGCCCAAACGTCAGAAGTTAAATATAGCTACAGAAAAAGAGAACGGTTATACCTTTACATTTTATATCCTACACCACTATAGTGGGGAGGGTATATTGGGTTTGTGCTGTTGTTTGAAACGCACAATAATATTGGTCCTATACCCACCTTAAAGTATACTAATCGGCTTAGAATCAATTTTGAAGATAATCCAATGAAACTTGGTACATGATCTTCTATTGTCCCTGGTACGAAGCCTATTAAAAATGGTTAACATTGTTCAATTATCGCACCTAGCCCCCATACAACTGAACCCCCAATAGGGCTTGTAAACCTTGTAATCAAACTACAGGAAATTTGGCACATGATCTTCTATGGTACCGGAGACGAAGCCTATTGAAAATAGTTAACATCGGTCCATTATTTCACCTAGCACCCATACAACTGAACCCGACGAACAGGGCTTTTAAGTTCATAATTATCTATATATATAAAAGAGTAGCGTTACTGACTGACTGATTCATCATCGCACAGCCCAAATGGCTGAAACTAGAAGCATGAAATTTTGACAGTAGATGTGTTTTTGGTTATGTAGATTCACTAAGGAAGGATTTTTGGAAATTTGTACATTTACGGGTAAAAAGGGGATAAAACGGGTAAAACAGGTTTTCTTAATTATCTTACACAATATTAGTGCACCTGTATCTACTCTTAAAATGAGCAGATGGGTGTCTGGTACTTTTTTGAAATTCGTACTTTTAAGGGGTAAAAATGTGTAACAAAGGTGATTTTGGTACCTTTTTATAACTTTTGAACTAATTAACATAATAAAATTTTTATAAATATTTTGGATACATCTCCCAAAATTATGAGTCACCTGTTTCGTACTTTTTTAAAATTCAGTCCTTTTTGGGTGTAAAAGGGAGAAAACTGTATTTATGGTACTTTCTTAGCACATTAAGAAAACTTTTTCGGTTTATTGAATTATTCCTATTAAATTACGGACTAACTCTGTATAATAAAATGTTTGCTATTTCACTGGGGAAAAAAGTACCAAAAAAGGAAAAAACGGGAAATTTAATTTTATTGAGCCAATTTTTATAAAATTTGAAAAAGTAGTTTATTTACTCACACAAAATAAGTCGTTGGTATATTATTTTGAAATTCGAGTACTAAGGCCTATATTTGGGACAAATTCGATTAAATTGTTTGGTACTTTTTGAAAGCACAATTTTTCTGGAACAAATGAATGCAGATTTGAATCGTTTGAGTTTTATCTGTGATATATAGATTTAAATACGGAACATTTTGTAAACTTAATTCTCGAAAAAGTATATTTCTAAGCGAAAAGGGGAAAAATTGTACTCTGTTTATTAGTACTTTCCACTTAGGTAAAATTTATTCCACTTTTGGTACTTTTTCTTTCTTCAAATGATACTCTTTGTATGTTCTTTAATATGAACTCAAAATACATGATTATTAAACATACACGGTCCTCATTGAATAAGATTCTTTAAGAGAGAACTTTTTAGTACTTTTTATCTCATAAATGGTACTTTTTTAATTTTCTAAAATATTCAACCTAGAAACATTAATTTTAACATACATGATCTTGATTGAATAATATTCTGTTGGAACTATTTGGTACTTTTCTATTCTTCAAATGGTACCTTTTAGATTCTTTATAATGGTGATTCTTATAATGAGAGAGATTTTTGTACTTTTTCGTTTTTCCGATTGTACTTTTTGATATTTTTACAATATTGAACATACATATTGAAAATAAAACTTCAAATGTAGGGACCTTAGTAAATGAGAATCTACTGAAAGGGACTTTTGGTACTTTTTCATTCATCAAATTATGTATATTTTTTGAATTGTATACAATATTGAACACAGAAACATAAAATTATTGATTAAATGATAATCTATTAGAGGTATTTTATAGTACATTTTTTTTAAGTAGTACTTTCGAAATTTTCTATAATGTGGAAGCTAAATGAATGAAACTAAAAATACAAGTTTCTTACTGAATGCGAAAACATTAAAAAAATGTTTAATTAGTTTTAATTTTATAAAAGTAAACAAAATTTTGTATTTATTTAATTTAAGTTAGGGTAGCGAAGCACCCAGGATATGCTAGTGTTTAATATAATCGTATCTCGACAAAAAGCCGCAAAACCAAGTTCTATACTAGCCTTGATCACCCTCACCCTTCAAAATTCAACATAATGAATTTGATCAATTTTTTATTAATATGCTTTTGTAAAATGAAAATTTTTCTTCACTTCAAATATACACACTTTTCAAAATTATTGTATCTTTTGGATAAACATAACGCTGTTTAAATTCTAATATACGTATAATAATTTACAAAAAAAACAGCTGAATACTTTTTTTCACACTGTCCAATGCAAGATTATTTAAAATGTATATCCTTCACCTTATTTTAATTAAAACCTTTAAAGACACATTTTGATTTTCCTCGTAAATAATTTGTGAATTTATAATTAATACTAAATTCGTTTTACTTAAATTATATTTTATTTTCCATAGAATATTTTAATAAAAATTTATTACATTATTAATTTGTAATGGACTATATCAACGTTAAAATAAAAAATGGCTAAAATGTTGTGTTCACCGAAGGTTATTTTGGAGGGAATATTTTAAATCTAATCTAATAACCGCTAAATAAATTCAAGAATCATTAAGCGAGCAATTTTTTTCGGCGAGTATAAGTTTTATAAAACTTGTCACTGTTATGGCATCAAAGGAACCATACGAATTCCTCCTTCCGCTAATTCTTGCAATTAATTCCATGATTTACCAATGTGAGCACTGATGGATAAACTAGTTCTAGAATTATTCTCTAATTCGCTATACTAGAACAAGTACTCACTGCAGTTTGTATTTTCATGGATCGCATTTTTAATTTTGATTTTTTGAATATTTAATTATAATTTATTTTTTTTTTGCGAAAATTTAATATAAAAATATTGCTTTTGTTAATGTCGAATGTTGCCACTGTAAACTAATTAGCTATTTTGAGAGATTAAATCGAAAAGTTAGTAACAGTTAAAACAACAGAAATTTTTCATAGTGTTAAAATGAAAATAGATTATACGTTGTTTGCCCATATATTGGCAATTTCGTGTTAAGTGACCCAACTCAAAAAATCAATTTGGATGAAATTTGCACCAATATAGTAGGATAGTAGACCAGGGTCAAAGTTGGACATTTTGGTCATACAGCGTTTTTTTCAAATGAGAGTATCTTTTCACCTATTGGACCTAGCAAAAATTGCCCAAAGGAGTGTAGATAGATATTTCTTCACTGTTTACAAAATTTTTCTCTGGCCTACAATCCAATAGGACTAACCTTGGTGCAAATCGATTTTTTGAGTTAGGTCACTTGACATGAAATTGTCCATATAAAAGTCATAGACCTGCTACCACTTTTTAGACTAAATCTGCCAAATTTGCAAAATAGTTTACGAGATAAGAGGCCTAAGTAGTAGATACATTCACGATGCTAGTAGCGATATACTGAAAAAAGTCTCAATGTCGATATCAAATTTGTTTTGTAGTTAAAGAAGATTCATGAACAAGAAAGAAAAATTAATAAAACCAGCATTGTGAATGGGATTTATATGTTTAACGCAACGCATTTAATCAGTTGTTACACACTGTGGAATAGCACCGGACCATTTGCCATTTTTAAGACATTTAACCATTTTCGGTCCACGTAATTCGAGACCTGCATCACACGTAAATGTTATACTTTCACCAATTGCGTAATAGAATTGTACAGAAGACATATGTCCACTGATTGCTGTTCCTGGATACGAACACGCTTGTACGCATTTTGGCAATCCTCCCGACCATCGACCATTATCTTGGCAAGCTATAATCGGTTGACCTTGCATCATGTATTCTGGATTACAGTTAAATTGAACAACATCTCCCGCGCGATAAGGCGCCTGCCCTTGCGCATATCCGTTTTGTGGAGCTCCGGGATTATCACACTGAACTTCAACACAAGTCGGAAAAGGTGTCGCCCATTCTCCCGATGGCATACATATTGCCTCCGAAGGTCCCCTTAATCCATAACCAGATGAGCATGAAAAGGCTGCACGACCACCAACTTCTCGCGAAAGGACAGAAACTCTTGGGGAGCTAATGTTGTTTGGTAATGGTATATCTCCACACTCGACACTTTCACAGACGGGTAATGGTGCACTCCAATTTCCACTAGGAAGACAAAATAGTTCAGATGCGCCGATTAATGAATTGCCATTTGAGCATGACATCAATACTCTTGTGCTGAGTTTTGTTTCGTTTGTGTTTACGATTAAACCCCGCCTTGTTGGTATTTCAGGACAATTGATACTTTTAACCACCACTTCAACTGAATGTTTATGCCTAGCAGGAGTTTCACAAGAATAAGTTCCAGAGTCATCAGTCTGAGCGTCAGATATAGTAAGGCGATATTCTAGCGTAGCATCTCGACCTTCTTCCGTAACCCATCCTTCGGAATAATTTCTGTAATTATTAAATACATACATGAATAATGACTGAAATTTTAGAAATAAACATAGAAAAACTAGTCCCAGCAGTAACTCACTTGTAATCATGGCTTACAGACCATTTTGGATTCCCAAATCGTCGCATCCATAAACATTCCATATGTAAGGTTGTGCCTGGATACACTATTAATTTTCCGTCATTACTTTGTGCGATTGGTCCATTTTGACGTCGAAATAATATTGTAGGCGCCTTTTCCACTTAAAAAATGTATATAAACAAAATATTATTTATAATCATTCAAGACATTTTAGATGTCTTTAACTTCTTCCATTTTTGCACAATAAAACTCAATTTGCATACATGTAACTTACTGGCATAATCGTTTTCTTGATTTAATCCAAAACATTGAGGTTTTGTTCCTGTCCATTCAGAATGTATGCAAGTACGTTCAATACTACCAATTAGCTCAAACTTTCCAATATCAGTACATCTATAATTTAATATCATTTTATTATTTAAACATCTAATTCCTTAAATGATTGTTCAGATACCTTGAGGTAATAGTTGCACCAGGTGGAAATTCGACAACATCTTCTCGTATTTCCAAATCATTATAGAAGCTTACAACATTAGGTTCATTATTTCGAAAAAGACATGTTCCATTTGCTAAAAAATAAGATTAATATGGTATACATAACAATACTAAACAATATTTATGTATCTATAAAGATTTATTTCGCAAAAAATGTACAGAGTATGGTTTTCAATATTACTACCAGAGTATAACATTAGTACTATAATTAAATATTTTAAATTATAAATTTACTCACCACAATTATATGATCTTCCGATCCATTGTCCATTTTCACATATGATTTTCCATGTATTACGTTCTCCTGATGCGCTAGGTATACAATTAAAGTAAATTTCTGTGCCACTCTCGTAAATTCTCTCTATCTTCATATTGTTCTTATCATTTCTAAATTAATTTAAAAAGAAATTTAGCGCTGAAATAAATAAATTAAACACAATAGTAACTTACACATAAATAAGAGCACCTTCATTAATAGTGGGTGGTCCACACATTTTGGACTCATCGTTGTGATCATCTGTAGAGTTCGATTCTTCTTCCATATCCGAAGTGTCTAGTGTATGTGATAAATCGATACTGTTATCCTCATTTTCTTTTGATTCGGCAGCCATTGAGTCTGTTATAATTTCCTCGCGAGACTTTCGCATTCCGCTTTCGCAGTGTATATTTTGTGGACTTATAACCCCTTTACTGCAAGTCATTTCAATTGGAAGTGTACTGGAAGAATGATTACAACGTACATATACTGAACTTCCATGACCAATTGTAAGACCAGCCCTATAGCCTCCCTATTAATGATTAAAGATAATACTAGCAAATATAAAAAATATTCCCTTTGAAAAAATTATACTTGGAGTCAGAAATTGTTTGGAGATTTAAAAGTTCAGACAAAGATTTTCTAATTTGGAAACTACATATGTGTCAAATCTTTAAAATTTTAGCAGTAAGGCTTATATTTAAAAGAGATTCTAATTTCGGTAATACTTTGGGTAGAATTATTATATATTTTTTTGTTTTAAATCTCCATAAAATATCTGACAATGTTATAAAATCAGAAAATTGTCGATGTGTCTAATTCTGGATCTGGAGACATCGGCAATTTTTTTTTTTTTTGGGTTGTACTATATTTTGATTGTGAACACATTTATAACCTCGTAAATAAGTCCAGTTATATTGGGTAATGTACATGCCACTGAAACACATTCTGAAAAAGCTTTAACAGACCAACTGCCATGTGCACATCTTAACTGAGCAGAACCCTAATTGGAACGAAATATATATTTATTTTTCAATTGTAATTAATATGTTTGCTAATGTCTATATTAAACATATGTAAGTATGTAGTAGTTTTATAATACTTACCTCTATTTTAAATCCATCTTCACATTCCAATGTTATGAATTCATTTGATTGAATTTCTTCATAGGTTGAGAGGGGTGTTAGAGAAGGTTTATCAGAAAGCTCCGTTGTATGCGGTTCAACTTTATAATACTTTCCATTCTCCACAGATGGTACCAAACATGGCGCTTAAGCAGTAAATAAAAATTATCAAATATTTTTGTGGTGGTCAAAATAGTTTTGATTTAAAAAGTATAGTTCCATAGTACATATTTAACTATATTGATTCAAAATTTCAACTCAAACTTTCTTTCATGTAAGAGTTTGATTTCGTTATAAATGTACTATTTGTAAACAAGAGTGAAGATAGTAGTCACTTTACTATTATCCAATTTATCTGTAACATACTCTTCTGTTATCATCATCTTACCTGATATGCACTTTGGTGTTTCTGGCTTCCAAATGCCACGAATACAGCGTGCGGTTGCATTTTCTCCCTTTATATTCAACTTGAATCCAGCATTACATTCTAAACTTAAAATAATACCAACACTATTTCTGCCAGGAACTTTTCCAGGCCTTACTACTGTAACATTGGCAAATGAATCCCAGACCAAATCCTCACATGGGCCACGTAATCTTTTGCGACCCTCCTTATTGTCATACTGTTCTGATGGCTCTGTGTCAGTATCAGTTGGATAACTGGAACTTCGTTTTTTTCTTTTACGTATAATTTGGGCTTTTAGTTGTTCGATAAAGTCTGAATCGTTGGAAGACTTAAAATTACGAGATGGTGTATCTATTACATAATTGTACGAGTTGCTTTTCATGAGCATCGGCTCATTAGTTCTTCTTAGCGAGGTGTATTGGGAATTATCATACATATTTGGTAACGGTATTTTTCCTATTGTTCTGTGCGCTTTATTTTCAAGTTCATCATATTCATTAAGGTTAAAGTCGTTAATTATAGCTCTTGATTTATGTAAGACTTTATATTTGGGGTTTGGTTCAGTTTCATTCGTAATATAATACCAACGACCATTATGTACTCTCAACTTTTTCGCAGGATTACGAAGGTCCATTGAATTATACAATCCATTGTTATATCCGAGAAGATATTTTACAAAGTCATGATACTTTTGTTTTATACGCTCATAGTATTTCGAGTAAGCTTCTTCAATATCAGTAGGACTTCGCTTTGATCGATGTATCTTTTTATTTTTATTGTCGTCTGCAAAATAAAATATATATACATATGTATGTATTATGTATGTATGCTTTATATAAATACTGACATTTACAAAAATATTATTTGACACTATTTAATAACATATACTATAAATATCTTCATCCTATTATATCATAATATTATCATAGGAATCACAATAAACGAGGTATTTCTGAAAAAAAAACAGATTTTTGCATGTATATTGTCAAAGATTACTGAATAGCAAACTAGTGATTTTTTCTAAAAACTATAACTTAATAAAACAAGTAAGAAGTCTACATTCTCCTTCACCATAGTGTGTTTAAAATTAAAAAAATATGAAAGATATTTAATAATAAAACCACCTTTTTTAAATACAATTTTTTTAATTTTCATATAGCTTTGGATTTAATTATTCTAATTATAGGTACTTTTTTAGTTATTAACACCAGGTCTTTCTGACCTTTATATGATACTAATATTCTTAAGTTTATGAAAGTGTATAACTCCTTACTTAGAAGAGCGCAAACAAAAAATAGTATTGCAGTATTAGGGTCAAAAGCAATATCCCGTTTAGGGTCGTTAAGATGTTTCTATCGTTAGTGACTGTAAATAATTTTAAAAATAATCCATGATTGAGTAATTTCAGATCTTTATAGACGGTTTAATTAACGGTTTATTTAAAAAATGTTCATGAAAGGTAATGTTTTTATTGATTCAAAACAATAAATAAATAAATTAATTAATTTTTAAATATTTTATTTTTTTTAGAAAGCAGTAGCTAATATTGTACCCCCTATTAAAATACTTCTAATTAAATTAAAATATAACAAGTAAGAGTGTTATATTCGGCCATGCCGAATCTTATATACCCACCATCAAATCATCCTTATAAATAAACTTTGATATTATCGATCTATGTTGAATCATATGTCGATATTATTATGAACATCAGGGAAATATTTGGAAGAGGGAATTTAATAAAGGCTTAAGCATGGACCGTGCTCTTCCGAATTAAAAATATTGATTTTGTTTGATCCAATATTTATAACCATAAACTCATACAAAACTTGTTTATGTGAAATTTCATCGCTGTAGTCGCATTTGAGCGTTACAGCCAGTAACGAGCGTTACAGTCACTATCTGAGGGGGACCTTATATGGAGGGTGGGGTCAGTTATAGACCGATCCCCATAAAATGTGATAAATAGTTTTTGGCTAGTACAAAACTTGTTTACGTAGAATTTCACTGCTGTAATAGCATTTTTGAGTCAGTAGTGAGCGTTAAAGTAATTTTCCGAAGGGGACCTTATAGGGGGGTATGGTCAATTACAGACTGATCCTCATAAAATTTAGTGAGAGATTGTAGCTAATACGAAAATTGTTCATGTCGTACTCAGTACTCGCAGTTTTAAGGTAGTAATGAGCTTTAAAGTCATTTTCTGAAGGGGACCTTACAAGGGGGATAGGGCTAATTAAGGACCGATCCTTATAAAATTTGATAAAGAACTTTTGGCTCACACAAAACTAGTTTGTACCTTAAAGTTATTTTCTGAAGGAGACCTTAATACGAAAATTGTTCATGTCGTACTCAGTACTCGCAGTTTTAAGCTAGTAATGAGCTTTAAAGTCATTTTCTCATAAAATTTAAGAAAATGATTTTAGTTCCTATAAAAATTTTTTATGTCGAATTTTATTGCTATATATATGCACATATGTTTCTTAAAGTCAGATATGAGCATTAAAGTCATTTTCTGAAGGGGCCCTTGTATTGGGGGTAGGGTCAATTATGAACCGATCCTTATAAAATTTTACGAAGAGATTTAAATTCTTATAAAACACGTTTGTGCCGAATTTCATCGCTATTGATGCTTTTCTTAGCCAGTCATGGGCGATAAAGTAATTTTCTGAAGGGGACTTTATATGGGGGGTAGGGTCAATTATGGACCGATCCTTATAAAATTATATGAAGAGATCTATGTTCCCATAAAACATGTTTGTGCCGAATTTCACCGCTATTGATGCTTCTCTTAGCCAGTTATGGGCGATAAAGTCATTTTCTGAAGGGGACTTTATATGGGGGGTAGGGTCAATTATGGGCCTATCCTTATAAAATTTTACAAAGAGATTTATGTTCCCATAGAACATGTTTGTGTCGAATTTCACCGCTATTGATGCTACTCTTATCCAGTTATGGGCGATAAAGTCATTTCTGAAGGGGACTTTATATGGGGGGTAGGGTCAATTATGGGCCTATCCTTATAAAATTCCACGGAAAGATTTATGTTCCTATAGAACATGTTTGTGCCGAATTTCACCACTATTGATGCTTCTCTTAGCCAGTTATGGGCGATAAAGTCATTTTCTGAAGGGGACTTTATATGGGGGGTAGGGTCAATTATGAGCCTATCCTTATAAAATTTTAAAAAGAGATTTAGGTTCCCATGAAACATGTTTGTGCCGAATTTCACCGCTATTGGTTCTTCCCTTAGCAAGTTATGAGCGATAAAGTCATTTTTGAAGGGGACTTTATATGGGGGGTAGGGTCAATTATGGACCGATCCTTATAAAATTCTACGAAGAGATTTAGGTTCCCATAAAACATATTTGTGCCAAATTTCACCGCTATTGGTTCTTCCCTTAGCAAGTTATGAGCGATAAAGTCATTTTCTGAAGGGGGCCTTATATGGGGGCTAGGCGAAATTGTGGACCGATATTGCCCATTTTCAATACCAAACAAACTGCATCAACTAGAAGTATCTGTGCAAAATTTCAGCTCGCTAGCTGCTTTCATTTGGACTCTATCGTGTTTTCAACAGACAGACAGACGGACGGACATGGCTAGATCGTCTTAAGAATCTTATAAGGACTCAGAATATATATACTTTTATGGGTCTTAGATGAATATTTCAATGTGTTACAAACGGAATGACAAAAACAATATACCCCCATCTTTTTTGATGGTGGGTATAAAAAAGGGATCTGGTAAGTTATATACGTCTTATTTCATCACGCGGTTCCATTAAGAAGGTCGATTATTTGCAGAAAATGTAAAAAATGGATCTGACCGTTTAAACTTTGGTGGGAAATGTATTGGTCATAAGAGAATGCTATTTTTATTGCTTCCTAAAGTATAACAGGTAATTTCAATAAATATAAAAGTATGTATATATTAATTATAACATTATTTTTCTTTATTTCGTTGAAGGATTAATACGTTCCAAAATATAACTCCTACAATTTGAAGGATTGATCATAAAATTTATGAAGAACTACAAAAATATTTTAGAGTCCAACGTTTTACAAGTATACGAACAGTTGGAATATTAATACAGACTAGAGTTCGCCCAGCGGTCGAAATTCGACCAGAACTTATGCTGGAAAAAATGCATAAATATGCTAAAATAAAACCCTTTTTTTATAGTTCAAATCTGCGGTAAAAAATTTACTTTATTGATATTATCAAAGTGTATAATTTGCTATTATTAATGTTTTCTTTTAGAAAATGTGATGGGTTTTTGGTAAAAGTCCCATCAGAAGTTTAAAACCTCAATTGCCAAAATTAGTTATAAAACTTGTTTTACAAAAGTATTTCAACTATTTTAAAAATAATAAATAACGAACATTTCTTCTATCGACTTATTATCCCCTACATATTTACGCTACGTTCACAATGCTGGAGTACTCTACTGTACACACCATTAAAGATATGTTAGCTGTTCAAAATACAGAGTGGAAATGTTCTAAATAATTTGTCAAAACAATAAAAATATTTAAAATAAATAATGTCTTATCTAATTATAAATAAATTTTATTTGGATGTCATTAGTAGTCCTTCCATCAAGTATATGCTGTATAAATTCTCCCTTATAACATTCGACAAAGACTTCAGCAGACCTACATTTATTAAATAAACGATAAATTGCTAAGTACGGTTAAACACTCTTTATCCCAAAAGACATGATTTATATTTAGCAGTTTCATCTAGCAGTTTTATCTATTTTTATATAGCATATAACCATCACCTATTCAACTTACAGTTTTCACTTTACACTACTATATCCTAATTGGTTAGAATAACCCAAAAAAGGAGAATATCAGCAAATCCTCGCTGTGCTAAACCTGCATATAAGCGATATACCTATCCATTTATTGCGGTGTATCATGTACCGGCATGACGAACTAAACTTTACTTATATTTTATACAGGCTTTTTTATTACTTACTGACATTGAATCAATTCGTTAATCCATCATTTAAATCTTCCAAATCAATCAAAACTAATAATTATGTATCGCAATTCAGTATTTTATTTCACCGATTTTTTTCGTTGAACATAATCGAAAAGCATCGGCAGTGTAACGACCAATAAAAAGTTCACGTTAATAATTTTATAATTTAAAAATATTTCAATACATAACTTTTGACATTCTTATAGTTTTCCGATCTTTGTCTTTAAAATATTCTACAGTCGTTAAAAAGTTAGGGAATTGAAAATTCGTTAATGTAACCGATATTTGTCATTACTTTACGATATTACTGAATTCCGGTACTGATGTCCTACCAATATTTTTCCAGGTCAAACACCAATATCAGTACATTTTTTGGCATATCTTGAGGTGTCCCCAAGCATTATTTACACATGTTTTTATATTCCCAGTTCGTTGTTTCCTCAGGAAAGTCCTTCAATTTAATTATTTTGAAAAGTTTAAATAACGAAAAACCTTCAATCGAAAATTCTGAATATAAAACTGAAGTCCTACTTCTTATAAAAATATTCGATTTGGTAACAATCGTAACGATGTTATAACAAAATTGATCATTATCTCATTCACAATTTAGCACTTTACACAAAAATATAAAACAATAAAATCCTATTTTCGCATTGCCTGAGCCTGTTTACATACTTATTTGATTACAAAAATCTTATTAAAAACAACAAAATCAAAATATCATCCAAAATACAAAAAGAAAACAGCAACAGAGAAGTTAAACGTTTCTGCACCTCCTGTCTTTTTTCAAAAAT